ACCCCTCCAGTGGAGCCGGACAGAGGGGCTTGGGACTGGGCTGTGGGAGCCAGACTCTGAGTGCTCTGGGCATTCTGATGGGGCTGGAGCCCCCCGCTGGGCCTCCTCCAGGGGGCTGGGGGGCTGTGCCTGTGGGTACCTGCGGAGGGAGACGTTTCTGAACACTGACCCAGTGTTCTGGCCTCTCAGACCCGGGCCTGATCTACGAGAAGTGTGTGGAGGAGGAAGAAGGCTTTGTGGGAGCCCTTGACTTGTTTCCCCCTGGCTACAGCTGCAAGTCGGTGGAGCCACAGCTCTCAGGTAAGTGCTGCCCTGTCTCTGTCACCCTGAGGAAGCCTGAGTTTGGAATTGAGCTTGTGGCCTGGGGGGCCGGGGGCAGACGAGAAAGAGGGGGGAGGCCTTACCTTGCATCATCCACTTCAAGGGCTGTCTTGCCAAACAGAAGAACAGGTAGAGTTGAGGCCTGGGAAACATGGAGCCTGGATGGGGAGGCAGCTGGGCAGAGAGCCCTCAGTTCAGATTCTGGGGGCCTGGGTTTGATTTCTAGCTGTGCCCTGTATGGCCTTCCCTCCCCTCCCCCCCCCCCAAAAAAAAAATTCAGGTCCTTTTCTAAAATGGGAGGCTGGACTGGATGAGGCGTAAAAGCTTGTCCGGCTCTAAGTCTGAACCTGGCCTCCAGGGCTTTGCTTTTTTGTGGACGCTTCTGAGTTTCTAAGTGAAAAAGTCCTTGGATTTTGAAATGCTCATGTGTCCTTAACCAAAGTCCCTACAGAGAGGAGGCTGGTGCAGTCCCAGAGACAAGGTGCAGGAGGGAATGGAGGGAGGGGAGAGGCCATTGCTACAGAGGGTGGAGACCTCCTTAGTGCCCTGGGGATTTGACTGCTGGAAGGGGCTTCCTTCTCCCTTGGGGAACGGGGGTGAGGTAGTCCCTGCAGACTGTGGGCAGTACTGCTGGCTGCTGTGGGGAGTTGGCTCGAAGGCCTGCTTAGAGACAGAGCCTCTGGGGGTGGCACAGCTCAGGCCTCAAGCCTCTTGCATGGGCTGACCCTCTGGTTCAGACCCTCATCCCCTCCCACCTGGTCTATCGCAGTGGCCTCCTGACTGGCCTCCCGGCCATTCTCTCCCATTCCAACCTGTCCTCTGCTCAGCTGCCTAAAGCACAGGTCTGACCTCTTAACCTCCAGCATCAAATATAAGGGCCCCAGTTTAGCTTCTAAGACCCTTCACAGCCAGGCCCCAAACCATCTTTCCAGCCTTGTTACCTGTCACTTCTCTTCCTACATACTGAGCTGGCCTTCTCTTTGTCCCTCCCACACAACTGCCCGTCTCCTGCCCCTGCCCCTGCAGTGGCCACCCCCTCTGCCCTCAGCACCGTGGCCTCCCACAATCCCTCACTTCCTCCAAGATGCGGCTTGGGCACCACCAGCTCCATGAGGCCTTTTGGGTCCCCCCAGGTGCTAGCGCCGTCATTGCCTCCCCAGTTATTCTGGGTGTGTACTTACATCTGCATGTGCATGTCATCTCCCTGAGGGCAGAGACTAGTCTCCCTTCTATCCCTCTCTCTTCCTTGCACCAGCCTGGCACTGGGCCTGGCACACAGTAGGCGCTTAATAAGTGTGTGTTGATTTCACAGTGGAAGAACTTTAGAGATCCTCTAGTTCAGGAGTTCTTAACCTTTATTTTTTCCTGGGCCCCTTTGGCAAGGCAGCCTGGGAAAAGCCTAGGGACTTTCTGCAGAATCACATTTGTAAATGACTAAATACTTGAAGGGAATGCCTGATTTCACTTGGAGGTAAGTGAAAATAAAGAAGAGACTTTTTTCCCATCCAGATTCATGGACTGCCCCACCCCACCCCATCCCATCTATCCACACCCCCTGACCCTGGCCAAAAAGTCACTTTATAGATAACAGCCTGAGATTCAGGGCCCCAGGAAGGGCCTTGGTTGAGGTCATGCAGGCAGGCAGGTGATGGCAGAGCTGGCTGTGGGGTGCCTGTCTCTGGTGCCACAGCTCCCCCGTGGCTTCCTCTGGATGGAGGCCTGGTCTTTCCTGCTGCAGTTTTCTTGAATGCAGTTCATTGGGAGCATTAGGTCTGGGCCCTGGGCTCCTCCACTCTGGGGGCTTGGCCATACTCATGACCTTTGCAAGCTCCCCGGCTTGGGTCTTTCCCCAGGGAAGATGCTGGTCTTGGATTATATTCTGGCTGTGACACGGAGGACCAGCAGTGACAAGGTTGTCCTGGTGTCCAACTACACCCAGACCCTGGACCTGTTTGAGAGGCTCTGCCGGCTCAGGAGGTGCGTCCTAGAACCTGGCTGGGCCACACCTGTCCAGATGTGGCCGGCCTCGTGCGAGTTAGCTCAGGATGGGCGCCTCGGACCACCTGGTTCCAGGGCTCAGGCCCTTCTGTCTCCCAGAGCCCATGCTTGGACAAAGTGACTTCCCCATGGCACCCTTTTGCCTAGAGCTGGTCAGGTCAGAGTCCTGTGATGCCAGGGCCCTGTGGCCCTTCCCCATCAGTGGTCAGGCAGGGTCTTGTGAACTGGCATGGAGCCAGGGCTGGGATCTCAGGACCCCCTGCACCTCAGAATCAGCAGCAGAGCCAAGAGTGACCTCAGATCGTTGCCACACCTCCTTCCCAGGGCAGGAGGCTCCCAAACCCAGGCCAACTGCCAGCCTGTGTGAGCACTGCTGAGGAGGGCTCGCCAGCCCGGGCCAGGGCTCTGGGCACCTTCCCTTGAGCTGACCTTTGTCCTTTCCCCTGCCCTGGGCACAGGTATCTCTACGTCCGGCTGGATGGTACCATGTCCATCAAGAAACGAGCCAAGGTCGTGGAGCGATTCAACAACCCCTCGGTGAGTGGGCAGGCTGACCCACCCGGAGCTGGCCCCTTGCCAGAGATTGGGGGTGAGAGGAGTGCTGCCTCACCACCAGGCTGCTGGGGATGGAGCCCAGGCTCAGGGGCCTTCCCACAGGGACAGAGATGGGCTTGAGACAGACTGGGTGGGGGCTGAGGGGCCAGGCTTATTCAGTATTGTCCTAGGCTGCAGCCACCCTGGGTAGGCCAGGGTCTGAGGGCATCTTTTGACTTTAACAAGGCTGCAAGTGGGTACCTGCATTTGGATCTTCTACGTGGAGTCTTTCTTAGTCTCCCCAGCTACTAAGACTTCTCCCCAAATCCCCTGGTCAGGAAAAGACTGGAAGAAAAGACTTAGGAGGGGGAGGGGAGGACATGCAAGTTGTCTTCAAGTTTCCAAAAGGATGTCATGGGTAAAGGGAAATCACACGTGTTCTACCTGGCCCTAGAGGGGCAGGCTGAGGCTTCATAGAGGTAGTGATCTCCCTGTTGTGGAAGGCCTATTCAGGCTTCCTTCAAGCTAGGGTTTGACATGAGCCCTTCCTGCTTGCTTCCAGCTGAGGGCAGGCCCAGCGAGGGGATGAGACTCACTGTGTTTCTTTTTTTTTTTTATTTTTTGCGAGAGGGGTGGCTAGTCAATGGGGTTAAGTGACTTGCCCAGGGTCACACAGCTAGTAAGTGTTATGTGTCTGAGGCCGAATTTGAACTCAAGGCCTCCAGTGCTCTATCCACTGGGCCACCTCGCTGCCCCGCTGTGGTTCTCTTGTTGCAGCTGGTCTTTCTCCAGGGGCCTTGCAAGCTGTCAGTGCACCTCTCTCCAGAGGGCTCTGCAGCCCAGCTGTGACAGGACCCACCCCTCCCCTCCCTGTCTTCCCAGAGCCCAGACTTCATCTTCATGCTGAGTAGCAAGGCTGGTGGTTGTGGCCTCAACCTTATTGGGGCCAACAGGCTGGTCATGTTTGACCCTGACTGGAACCCCGCCAACGACGAGCAGGCCATGGCCCGTGTGTGGCGTGATGGCCAGAAGAAGACCTGTTACATCTACCGCTTGCTCTCGGTGAGCTCTGCCTGGCCTTCAAGGCCTTGGCCCTAGGGTGGGGAAGAGCTCTGGGCTGGGGGCTGGCGACACCTTGGGTCAGTGTCATGTTCTCTCCTGGCCGCGAGTTCTCTGCTGCTGCCCCACAGGGGTCACACTTCAGCCTCCTGATGTCCTGGGTCTCAGCAGAGGAGACCCCAACACGGGTGGGGTTGGATGATGAGGCTGGGCCTGGACCGGGGTCAGTCTCCTGGCTGGAGCTGACTCCCCCTGCCCCTTCTACTCCCAGGCTGGGACGATTGAGGAGAAGATCTTTCAGCGACAGACTCACAAGAAGGCTCTGAGTAGCTGTGTGGTGGATGAAGAGCAGGACGTGGAACGTCACTTCTCCCTGGGGGAACTTCGAGAGCTGTTCACCCTCAATGAGGCCATGCCCAGTGACACCCATGACAAGTAAGGAGGTGGTGAGGGGAGGAGAGCCTGCTGCCTCCTGGGAAGTGGAGATGTGCTCCTGGGGGCTGTCTGTAGTCCAGGGTGCTGTGAGCTGGGGGGGCCAGAGCCCAGCTGGTTGCACTGCATCATATCTCTGCAGATTGCGCTGTCGTCGCTGCGTGAATGGACGTCAGGTCCGGCCTCCTGCTGAGGGCTCCGACTGTACCTCTGACTTGGCCCAGTGGCACCACAGTGCAGACAAGAGGGGGGTCCCAGATGCCGTGTTGCTGGCAGCCTGGGATGCTGCAGTGACCTTTGCCTTCCACCAGCGCTCACATGAGGAGCAGCGTGGGGTCCTTTGAGCCCTGGGACTGGGGCTGAACTGGGCCTAGGTTGGGGCTGGAAAGCTGGGGTACTGGACTAGGTGTGGACTGGGCCTGGGACAGGGCTAGAAAGCTGAGGAGCTGGACTGGGCTGCGGCTGAGGCTGAGGCCGAGGCCGAGGCCAGGACCAGGCTGGTCCAGGCCATCAAATGGCTACAGCCACCTAGGCTGGTCTGGGCAGAAAGCCTGTGCTTGCTGCACCAGGAGCTAGAGCTGCCCATCCTGGACCACTCCTGCCATCACTGCCCAAAAGCTGGGAGAACACTCAACCACACAGCTGAGAGTCAGAGATATGCAGAATAGATTTTTTTATTTTTAAAAATGTAAAAAAGGTACAGAGGAATAATAAAGGCATTAACAACTTTCTGGTGGCAGAGTCGAAAGCATGGTGTGGGCTCTGGGTGGATCCAGGCCTCAGTCGGGTACTCCTGGGGAAGGAGGGTGGCTCTGGGGATCACTTTTCCCCTTGATCCCCCTGAGCACAGCAGGGCCAGCTGCAACCCATCTGCCCAGGTGAGATGGGGAGCCAGGACCTGCCTGCTTTCTCTTTCCCTCTTGGGCCAGAAATTGGGCCTCTGGTACCATGCCCTACCCCACAAGCTCTGGCGTGAGTAGGGGTTGGAGGGAAGTGTTGCTGTACTCCTGTGGACCCTAGCCTAGGATAGGGCCTCTATATCCCGGGAAGGCCATAGTCACATCATACTGATGTAGTCGGCAAAGGCCTGGGAGGAGTCCCATGTGTCACTAACCACACTGAATGTAGCCCGTAGCCGGCCGATGGCCTCCTGAGCCATGCCGGGGTCCTGGTCTAGCCAGTTCTGGAAGAGGCAGAGGTGGCCGAAGGTCCCACGGCTTGGGTGACTCTGCTCCAGCTGCTTGGCAAATTCAAGGAGTCCATCTGGCTTGATACAATTGGAGCTGGGATGGGGAGGAGAAGGTTGGAGTCAGAAAAGGAGCCCTGAAGAAGGGGAAGTGGGGCCTGCTCACCCCGCTCCAACCACATACCTGATGTCCAGCTGGCAGAGCGAGGAAGAGGAGTCACTAGAGAAGATCTCAGCCAGTGCCACAAGGCCTGAGCTCCCTGGAGGAGGAAAGAGGCCAGGTCTCCCAGGAGGCCGAGCTGCCCAGCCCTTTCCTGGGTCAGTGCTGGCCAGCCACACTACACTCACCAAGGCGATTCCCTGGCAGCCGGAAGCTCTTCAGAGTGGAATTGCTCTTCATGGCGGTGACTAGCTTTGGCAGAAAGTGGGTCCGGCGCTTCTCCAGCAGCCGGCAGAAGGACAGGGTGAGCTCTGTGGGAAAGCCAGAGGAACCCTTGGGCCAGCCTGTTCTCAGGCCACAGCTTCTTGCCCCCATTTTACAGAGAGTGAATTTAGAGCTAGAAAGGGCAGCAGAGGCAACAGAGTCCAACCCACTCATTTTACAGATAGATAAACTGAGGCACAGAGAGGGTGATTTGCCCAAGGTCACAGCTAGTAAGCATGTGAGGTGGGATTTGAACCCAGATGTTCCTGACTGTAGGTCCCATGCTCTATCCCCTCCTGTCCTATTCCCAGTTGTCCAGCTCACCTCGGAGGGTGGGGTCCTGGAGCAGCAAGAGTACCTCCTTCTGGCAGTCAGCAAGGTTCATGTCATGGAAGCTCAGCTTCTGCAGGGCTGGGTTGCATTCTAGGGGGTAGAGGGAGACAGCAGGCAGCCTGTGGGGCTGAGTAGGGCAGCCCGCGCTGGGGACCCCGAGTCCTTAGCGCCCTGTCCGTCCCCTCCCCCATGCAGGGTGGTACCTCGAAGTGTCTGCAGCACCAACCCCAGTTCCCTGGGAGAGGTGAAGGTAGCACTGTCCAGGGCCAGCTGCCTCAGGGCAGGTGATGCCTCCAGGACCCGGCACAGGCACTTGCTGGCCTGCGGCCTGCGGGGAAAGCCCAGCTCCAGCTGTTCCAGGCAGTTCTCTGCCAGAAAGAGAGGAAGGGGGCAAGGCTGCAGCCGCCAGCCTCTGCCCCCAGGACAGCTGGCCTGTGGCCCAGAACCCCCTTACACGCTGGGGCTGCGTGGGACAGTGCCGGCCATGTGGGCTCCCCAGGCCGGTCCTAAAGTGTGGACTCTGCAGAGTAGGGGTTTTAACTGGTGGAAATGAGCATCAAATCACAATCCTCCACACAAGAGGACAGGGGTCCCCAGAGCCCAGGTGGCTACCCAGCCTTAGAGGCATGGAGTGGGGCACAGAGCTCCCCAGGCACTGCCCCTTCACCACTCCGAGCTTGTTTCCTTATCTGCCAAGGGTCCCACCCTGATAGCTTCTAGGGTCCCTTGCAGACCTGGGTGTGTGATCCCAAGATCTCAGTAGTTTGCAAACGACTTTCCAACCATATCCAGCACTTAACACTAGATGGGGTCTCTTGAAGGCAGAGGTCACTGTGACTCACCTCACTTGTCCTGAGGGCTTGCCAAGGATCAGAGGCTCCTGGCCTGCCCAAATCCCCCCATTCTACAACCCCCTCACCTGGAATGTCCTCATGCCCTGCCCCAGGGCTAGAGTTCCCAGGGGCTGTGGGACTGTCATCTGGGCTCAGATGATCAATCCGGATGGCCAGGGTGTGCAGCCTGGGCAGGACCCTGAGGGTGGTGTGGGCCAGCTCCAACACAGACAGAGGGGAGAAGAGGTCAGTGAAGTGGAGGGAGCAGAGGCAGCAGTTGGCCTGGGCTGAGAGGGCCTGCAGACCCTCCAGTAGGTGGAAGATATTGGAGCCTAGCCCTGCAGTGGAAGGAAGCAAACATTTATTAAGCACCTACTAGGGATGGGCCAAGCACTGTGCTAAGCATTGTACAAATATTACCTCATTTGATGCTCACCACAACCCTGGGAGGTAGGTCCTATTATTATCCCTATTTTGTAGTAGGGGAAACTGAGGCAGTGAAGTGACTTGCCTAGGGTCACATAGTTCATACATGTCTGAGACCGGATTTGAACTCGGGTCTTCCTTGCTCCAGGCCCAATGTTCTATCTACTGTACCACTAAGTTGCCCCGGGGGAGACATGTTAAGTCCAGGTCGTGCCACAGCCAGGGGTCCCAACAGGGCTGCCTTCTCTCCAGGTCCCTGCGGCTACTCTTCCCAGATCAATACCCTCCACCCCCAATCTGAGACCCTGATAAGAAGCACGGGTTTACGAAGTACTTTCCCCCCAAACAGCTCTGTGAGGTAGGTGGTGCAGATATTCCCACTTCACAGGGGAGGAACCTTAAGGCTCAGAGGCTGTGATTTTCCCCAAATCCACAGCCAGAAAGCACGGGAGGCAGGATCTGACCTCGGCTCCTCCAGGCCCAGAGAACAGTGCCCCAAGAAGCTTCTCGGCCCTACGTGGGTACTCTTGCCCACCTCCTATGGCAGGGATGGCCCTTCCCAGGGCCTCTCCCTGGATCAGGAAGCCACTGGCCCTCAGCATCCCCTCCTCAGTGATCCAGCATGTGTCTGAGTCTTACCCACCCCCTACTCCCAAGCAGAATGGAGGCTCCCTGAGGGTAGAGGAAGTGTTCCCTTGTGGGTTTGGTTTTTTTTAATATGCCCAAAGCAGGTGTTTAATCAGTACAATGCCAGTTCTCCATAGCCAGCTTGGAGAACCCTGCGCACAAGACCACAGAGGCATGCAAAGCTGCCTTTTCAGTGTGGTGCTGAGACAGCCTCCTATGGACCAGGCCTGGAGTTGGATGCATGTAGGGGAGACACAAGTACCCACTCTGTGCTAGGCCCCGGGGAGACTGGTTCAAAACTCAGGCGACTTAACTTGGGGAGCTGATGTTCCAGCAGAGGGCTGGCAGGTGCAGCTAACAGGCATCTTGCCATGGCGGCTACCACCCAGAAACCCTTACTACCACCAAGTCTGAGTGGAAAAGTCTACAGAGGCTGACCAAAGGAACATGTTTGCCAAGGAGCTGCTGGGTGAGCAGGAAGGGTGGGCCCACACTTCCAGAAGAGAAGAGGAAAGAACTTGAATGCCTCTCCCCTCCCCAGATACTCGAGGAGAATGAAGAGCTGCTTGAGAAAAGGGGTGCAGGGGGTATAGAAATCTATCCTGCCCTACAGGAAAATGGAAGGGGAAGAGGATAAGAGAAGGTGGGGTGGGGGGAGATAGAAGGGAAGGCAGATGAGGGGAAGGGGTATTAAGAATACACACCGTCTTGGGGTGAGGGGAGGGATGAGATGGGGAGAAAATTTGGAACTCAAAATCTTGTGGAAGTGAATGTTGAAAACTAAAAATAAATAAAGAAGCTATATTTTTAAAAAAAGGAAAGGGGTAGGTAGAGGATGGGGCAGAGAGGGCAGAGAAGCAAGAGACATAGCTCAGCTCCCAACACAACTTCTCTCCCGAGATGTAGGACGGAGATCATTAGACCAAGCTGTGATCAAGAAAATCCAAGAATTAGTCGCACAATATCATCTTTCTCCTCTAGGTCAGCAATGGAAGACAGTCCGGCCTGTGGACACCAGGGTCAAGTTCTGGCCAGGGAGGGCATTCCACGTGTGCAGGAACTGAAAAAGGACTGAGGCCACGCCCCAGCCCCAGAGGACCTAGGCCCATAAAAGGGGGACCAACCAGCAGCTTTTTTGGTCACTACTCAGTTCCAGGTCCAGACCCTAGGTGGACAGGGGAGGGAGAGATCTACCAGGATAAGGAAGGGCCATGGGCTGGGCTGTGAACGAAGCTCGGAACAAGCTCAGAGGCCAGCAGGGCCTGTGGGGCTCCCAGCCTCCAGCTCAGTCTGAGTCTTGTACAACCAGAGAAAGAATTCCAGACTGGGGAGAAGCCTGCTGTTCAGTCCCACTGAAGCGGCAGAGCTTTCGAATCAGCTGAAAGTGGTCTAATCTAGCAGCATTCTACTGGGACTTCCAACCAGGCAAGCCCACAGGAGGATTAGCATACCCAACTCAGGTCACACCAGAAGGGCAGTAATTTGACTCCCAATGTGGGGGCGTGGAAAACTTGCAGGTCCCCAGCCTGAGCTATCCCTGAGACCCTGGAGTAACATGAGACTCAGTATCTCAAGAAAGAAGCAGCAGGACAGGCCAGATTTTCCCCCAGAACTGGTCAGAGCCCAGACCTAACATCAAGTCCAAAGTTAGGAAGGAGATCCATGACAAAGAAGCTGATAGGACCTCAAAGTTCTCACTCATCAATGGGAGACCCACAGCTGCATGTGGCTTTGGATGGGCAGATCTTAATCCAAACAGACCAAACACGTGAAAGGGTCAGCCATGTCCAGTCTCTTCCATTCATTTCCACAAACATCTGTACTATGGCTGGCGCTGTGCCAGGGGGTATGTGAACAAAGACAGTGGCTAGCTGGCCAGTCATGCAGACCGCCCTGCCTGGGTGACCCTGGACAAATCCTTTCACCTCTCAGGGTTCCTGGCAGTCCTCTGGGGCTGTAAGTTGCAGAGAAGGTGCCAACCTGCATTACTTGGCAGAGGGGTGTTTCCTCTCTAGGAGTTCCCTAAATTAGTGAAATCACAAGAAAAATAAAGCGGGGCATGTTCCCAGAAGCCCGTTCTACCTGGAACTACAACCTAGACACAGATCATTTTGTTTATTATTTTTAAAGGTAGAGTGAGGTGGGAAGTGACCCCTGAGCTGGGCCTTGAAGAAAAGTCAGAGTTTGTATCTGACAGGCCATCTGGCCTAGTGAAGAGGTCACCAGACTTGGCCTCAAAGGCAGCTCTGACACTCCCTGCCCCCTCTGAGCCTCCACTTTCTCTCTGTACAATGGAGATAACCATCTATGCTTCCCCTCCCCTCTCTCTCCCCCAGGGGGGTGGGGTCAAAGTCACTCTAACTCTCAGAATGCTACAGACTGGGAGGGTCAGGCCTACTCAGGGCCTGGAGGGAGGTGAACCAGGAGCTAAAAGCAGAGAAACCAGAGGCCCCAGAGAAAGCAGTCTGGCAGAAACAAGGTCCGGACCCATATCTGGCAGCATATACTGAGACACGTCCACCACAAACAGTGAAGGAAATGGCCTTCGGGTTTGTGCAGAGGGAGTATAAGGGCCAAACAGAGCAGAGTGGGTCACCTGTGGATGACCCTGACCTAGCCTGTGTGTCCCCCTTGATCGCCACCAAACTGCTCCAAGAGACTCCCCAGGACTGGGGGCAAGAGCCAGATGTCAGCGCTGACCTGATTGTGGGCAAGTGAAGACAGGGAGAGGTATCCAGGGAAGGCTCTGGGGCCCCGGAGTGGGGGATCCTTGTGCTCTCCGTCTGCCTCCTGGGCCTTGGCAAAGACGGGATGTTTGTGACTGGTACCGGAACCACCGCCGGCGCTCTGCAAAGAACCGGCCTGCTGGAGGACACCTTACCATTATAGGAGAGGGTGAGCTTCTCCAGGGACACCCAGGAGCGCAGCAGGTGACACAGGATGAGCGTCGACTCTGTGGACAGTGGGATGGTGAACAGCTCCAGAGCCGAGATGCTGCGGAAGCGCTGGGCAGTGTCTAGAGAGGGAAGGTCCCTGCAGCTGGGCTCCCACATCCCACAAGACAAACGGCTCTGCCTCTCCTCTTCCTGCTCCTCCTTTTCACTGGCAATGAGGAAGACAAAGTCATAGAGGTCATCTGGCTCTGTCCCAGGCCTTTGCCAGTGAGGAGGGCAGGGGCTTTTCCCCCTGGGGGCCACCTGGGGCTGCAGGGCTGAGCTGGCTGTAGTCCGAGGGCCTGAGGATGGGGCAGGAGGACTCCCGGGGCCTGCTTCACCCAGCGTCCGGCTCTCCTGCACAAGCATGGCCTGTTCTTGAGCCTTCCTGGCCTCAGTCTCCCACCGAGTGGCCATCAGGGCAGCTGCTGAGCACTCTGCAGTATCCCGGCGTGGCCAGCCAGGCCCCAGAAGGAAAGCCGGCTCATCAAGGGCTGGGGCTTGTGCCGGGGGGTCCTCCCTACACAGAATGCAAGGCCCATCACAGGGGGCTGGCTGCCAGAGCCCTGCACTCATGGTGAGGATGAGGATGAACAGTGCGGTCTCAGGCACAGGCCAGGAGTACATGGACACGTGCTGCACAGCTCCGTGGTGAATAAGCCGGTGCAGTAGCTTCCGCAGGGCCTGGTGAGCAGCTCCGTCAGAGAAGAGCAGGTGCCGAAACTTGAGGGTGTGCAGGGAGCAGGCCAGGGTCTGCAGCGCCTCGTGCTGGGCCTCGGCCACCAGCTCCCCCACTCCCTGCAGTGCGTTGCAGATGGTGAGCTGGGTGACGTAGGGTGCGCTGTGCTGGAGGGCCGAGAAGCGGCTGTCCTGGAGGCGCCAGTCACACGATGGGTCCAGGGTCCCTCGGAGCACGTGGCAGAAGAATGTCTCCAGGAACTTGGTCCGCCAACAGGGCACACTCTGAGGCCAGAGAGGGAGGAGAGCCAGACAGGTGAGGCCAAGCCCCTACAGGCAGCCTGTGCCAGCCACTTCCTGGCTGCCCCCCTCCCAGTGTCCCGGGCTGGGCTGCCCAGTTAAGCCCCTTGCCCTGACATGGATTCAGCTTTGAACGTAGTTCTAACAGCTGCTGGTGAGGTGACCTGGGCAAGGACCTCACTTCGATCAGCCTCAGTTTCTTCATCTGTAAAATGGAGAAAACACTCCATCCTACTTCCTAGGCACAGGGTTGCTGGAAGGAAGAGACTTTTTTGAGTTGCTCTCACTGTTACTGCCCCGTCCCTGGGCTCTGCTGGCTTGGACAGTGGCCCTCATTAAAGGCCTTCCCAGCCCAGGCAGCGTCAGCCCAAAGGGTTTGGAGTCATGTCCTGGCCCAGTGACGTGTCTAACAAGCTCTTCTTCTGGCCTAAACCCACGTTCTAGCTTATTCAAAATCTGCCCTGAGCCCCTGTGCTCATTCTCAACCCCGCCGTGTTCCCAGCCCATAGAGCAGGCTGGCACACCCTTGGGCATGGCTCTGGCAGGGCTGGCTTGCTCTCTTAGGGATGGATCCCTCAGTGCCCAGGACTGGAGCACTGTGTGTTCCCCCAGAAGCTGCTTTCTGGAAGCATCCCTGCCCTGAGCTCAGCTGTCTCTTCCCCTCAACTACCGAGTGAGTAGAGGGGCCTTATCAGCCAGGCTCTAGTCAGCATGGCCCTGCACCACCTTAGTGCCAGGAGGGGCTGCCCCTGCCCTCACCTCAGGATGGGGTGGCCTTGTCCTCATCACATCATCCCAGAGCTGATGCCAGATGGCCTGCGTAGAGAGGCCTGTAGGGAGCAGAAAAACCATGCGTCTTGTCACTCCCAGGGGCCCCATAGACTCGAGACAGGCAGCTCGATCCCTGGCATCCAGTGCCACTCTCTACCCACCCCATGCCCCTGCTGGTGTCTCTAAGTCTCAGCTCCTGGATATAGGGATAGCCAGGTCTGCCCCATCCATTCCATGGGGATGGGGATGGCTGTTACCTGCCGGGGGCAAACCCAACCTCCTGATCTGGGGTGACAGTGACAGCTCACCTTTCTTCTGGGCTGCATGCTCAGCCCTCTCCAGGTAATAGATATTGAGCAGCGGTAAGATGCCTTGAAGTATGGGACCTGGAAGAGCTGGGAAAACCAAGACAGAGTGCTGGGTCTGGAGGCAGGAGATGAAGACAGGGGCCTCTCTCCACACATTTTGTTTCCACACTTGCCCGATTCAAGAAAGGGGGTCTTAGAGGGGAAAAGCCCCCACCCTGCAGCCACCTCTGCACTCGTGAAGCACTTTCAGAAGCGTCAAAAGGGGATGCTTGGCTAGAGGCCCTAAAACTCGTCCCCTCTGAGGTTCTGCCGGAGGCATCCTCCCGGAGAGACTGCTGAGCACAGGGGTGAGTGCATCTGTGCCAGCATTCTGAGTACCTACTGTGCGCTGGTGCTGGTGACATAGAGGCTGCCTTGGTCTCCACTCTCAAGGAGATGATATTACGATACATAAACAGACAAGCCAAAGCAGCCCATCCTGCTTTTCCTCTCACACAACTTCCTGTCTCCTTCGCCTCCAACTCTCAGAATTTCTACTTTTCTTTAAAGCTCAGCTCCAGCACCACCTCCTACATGAAGCCTTCCCTGATCCTTCTAGCTCTAGAGACCCCCACCCCCTCACCATGACTGTCATGAAAAGCAAGGGAAGAGCACATCAGGAGAAGAAGGTGACCACCAAGACCAGAGGCTGCAGACAGGTCAAGAAGGCTGGGATCAAGATCTTCCACTTGATTCAGAAAGGAGTAACTTTGTTAATGATTTTGGGGAGAGCAGTCTGGGTTGAAGGATGAGGCCAGAAGCCAGACCCAAAGGAGTCAGAAGAGAGTTAAAGGAAATTGAGGAGTTTAGCCCTAAAAAGATGGTGAGATCAAGGAAAGGGGTCCGAGGCTGGGGGAGACATGGCATGTTTGTGGGCGGCAGGGAAGCAGCCAGTAGACAGGGAGAGACTGAAGACAGAGATGAGAGTGGGGATGACAGAGGGGTGGCCTGCTGGAGGAGACAGGATGGAACAGGGTCCCTTGTGGCTGCAGAGGAGTTTGCTTTAGCCAGGAGAAGGGCCTCTTCTCTGAGACAAGGGTGAAGGGAGAGAGAGTGGCAGAGGCACCTTCAAGCGTAAGATTAGGAGGTGAGAGAAGAGGGAGACATTGGTGAGTGACCTCAGGTTCTCAGCTGAGAGGATGAGAGGAAGGGGAGCCAAAGGAGGTTTGGGGAGGGATGAGAAGGTCTGGAAGAGCCGCTGTGGAGAGCGGGACAGTGAGTGACGAGGGCGGTGTGGCAGGATTGCCTTGTAACAGGGAGGGCTTAGCTCAGGTTATGTAACAAATCTATAGTGGACCCATTCACTCCAGCTTCATGATTTTCCCCAGCTTTGTTTAGCAACATGTGAGTAGCAATAAAGCCAGTGGATGGTGGGAAGAATGCCAGTGGGTTAGGGTAGGATCTTCAAAAGAATAAAGGGGCAAGGGACTCAAGAGAAAAGGCCAGTGAACTGGAGCACCAAGGGGTCAAGATAGGGACAGGAGGAGAACACAGCAGTGCAAGGGGGGTGGTGTAAGAATTGAGAGTTTGAGGGACTGGAGGTCACAGCGAGGACAAAGAGGAGGATTTGGTACTGGAAGGCAGAGGGAGAAGCGGAATCACAACAGATTATGATGGATAGAAAAATTTCAGAGTTCACAAACATGGAAGTGAAACATTTATGGGTAATGGTGAGATCAAGGGTATGACTATCTTTGTGTATGACTGAGGTGGGGTAGAGGAGGAGAGCATGGGAAAAGGAATGAGATGAGGAAAAGTGCGGTTAGGGTGTTTGAGAGAGTATCAATATGTATGTTAAACTTCTAGTTTGAGAGCAGGAGCGGGGGAGGAGGGAGCCTGTGAGGCTGGCACTGAGCTTACTGAAGAAGAAGGGGGACATACTGGAGGTCTGCAGACAACAAATATCAGGATTTTGTTTGGGTGATAGATATTGTCTGAATGAATCTCAAAGGAAGAGATGTTACTGAGTGATGATGGGAGAGGGAGAGTCAGAAGTTAAAATGGAGAGCACAGAATATTCAGAGTCCCCTACCAAGACCAGTGCTGGAAAGGGATGGAAGCTGTGCTAGCAAGAGGGAGCCAGATCTTGGTGAGTGTACTAGGAGACGGAGGAAAAGATTTAAGATGAAAGTACATTTATTTTGTAGGGAACAGGCATTCGTTCCAGATGTATGACGGGATGGAAGGATGTTAATCACTGACGAATGAGTTCTTGTAAATCAGTATTATTCACTGGAGCTCCTCCGCCTGCCTGAAGCTGGGTGGAAGAAGGGTGAAAACAGGGCAGGCTCAATGCTCTAGAAAACTTCTAGCTTGTAAGTTACAAAGAACGTGCCAACCTGCACTGGTAAGGGGAAGGCCCTCTCCTGGGCGTTCCATATGCCAATGAAATCAGGGGTTCATGGCTAACCTATACACACACACATACGTGCATACGTACACACATTGATGAAGTGTCCCTCCACAGAAATCAGGTCCTTGAGGCCTGTTTCATTCCTGCCTTTGTTATGGGGTCCTTTTGTGTATAGATCGGACTTGATGCTGCTAATGTCTTTTCCATCTTTCAACTCTGTGGTTTTGTGACCGTCCATCTTGCATCTCAATAGGAATCACGTTACAATACACTCAACAAGTGACTATATTGCCTCTGCTTGGAAAACCTCTCCAGGCTGGGAGCTCACCCTCTCCCAGGCAGCATCGCCCATGCTGGGTCAGCTCTCAGGGAGGGGTCTCCCTGAAGCTCCCCACATTCCTCCTGGTCCTGTCCCCTGGAGCCCAGCAGAGCCCCGGCTGATGTCCTCCTCCCCGGGATAGTCGTCCCTGAGCCTTCTCTTTCCCCAGGCTACACTATCGCTCCTCCTCCGGAAGGGACTCCAGGCCCTTCCCGAGCTCATCAATGTCCTCCTTTACGGGGAGGCGTCCTAGCCTGACCACGAGCCTTCACAGCGGGAGGCCTGTTTGGGTCTTCTAGCTGGCCCGGGAGCCTGGGCTCAGTCTCCACGGCAACAGTGCCCGCACTCGGCACTGGCTCCAATTGGGCCACCTCTTGTTTCCATGGGAGCGCTACTTCCAGCCCCTCAGCGGTCCCCGGTTTCCATAGTAACGGGCCGTCCGTGGCCCCTCCCCCTCACCAAGTCCTCACTCACCCCACACCCCGCTCTCCAGGACACCCATGTTGGCGCTCACGGCCCAGCCGCATAGCACGAACAGCGCTGGGGGGCCGCTGGGCTCTAAGTCGGCCGTGGGGTTTCTTTCCCGGGAAGAGGCCTCCATGGCGGCCGCCGCTATGGACTCACGCAAATTCGGACTTATGCTAACGCCGCGAGGCCTGGGGGCCGCCATATTGGGCAGTGGCTCGCGCCTGCGCAAGCGCGGAGCTGCCTGCCGCCATCTTTGATGAAGTTGGAGCGTACCACAGGGTACACTGCCTTCTGCAGGGAAGAGGGGAAAGGCCAGTCCCGCTGTTCGAGCGGCCACGAGCCTGCGAGCTCGTTCCTGGCCAGAAGAATCGCTCAGATCCTCCGTTATATTCGAAAGCCGCCCTGCTGCTGCCCCAGGGGCCCCAGAAGCAGCGTCGGGAGCCCCGCCCACCCCCTTGAGCGGTGCCGTTGGAAAAGTCCACTTTATTTCCGGTGGTGGACTGGATTTCCGGTCCGTGACCCTGGCGAGTCCTTCTCGGCCAGCAGGGAGGAGTCTTGCTTGCGGAGGCTAGAGCGGACGTTAGACATGGTGTTGGGGAGCGAGAAGGAGGCGCTGGGCGACGGGGACCCCAAGAAGGTGAGGGAACACGGCGGGCCAGGCCTGGAATTGCACCTTTGCCAGCGCGCTTTGAGCTACCTCAGGCCTTCGGCCTCTAACGGTAGCGGCAGCCGAGGGAAGGATCCGAGGTTCTGAGGGGCCCTCGGTCGTGCTGGAGGAGGTCCCTAGTGGAGGGTCTAGGGATCCATGTGACCGCAGATTGGGGGAGGGGAGAGGGCGGGGTTCGGGGCCCACACGCTCTTTGGGGATCCCCCGGCCCGCCTGCCTTCGCCGAGAGGCCACACAATGAAGGCGCAGGTGGCAGAGGCGGGATGTGGACCCAGGGCCCTGTGTAGGGGCAGGACGGCGAACACGGGGACGCATGATTCGAGGCCTTTTGTCAGAAGAAGATTTGGGGGTCCTAGCAGACTGCAAGCTCAGCAGCGGGAGTGTGAGTGATCACCTTTCCCTCCCCCTCTGCAGCTTTTGACCCTGCTGACCCCGCTCTCCTCTGGGGCTCCCCGCGCGACCTTCTCCGAAGGATCATCATCCAGGCCCTGGGTCCCTCGGGGCCCACCCGCCCGCCTGCGCTGCTGCCCTTGGCTCCCCTCCCCCCGCAGTCCCTGCCGCCCATCTTCGGAGTGACTTTCGGCCCGTCGCCCCCCCCCCTCCCCCGGTCATTGCGCCCCGGCTTCCATATGGGGAACCTGGGGGTGTGCGGGACGCGCCTCCAGAGCCACACCCTTGACCTGGCCATCACCTGCAGCTGCTGTCGTGTCTGGTCCTCACTGGACCTCCCCCTCGGCGCCTTCCCTGCTCACCCCATCCTGTTCTGGCTTCACTTCTCCACCCAGTCCTCCCTTGCTCCCCAGTCATTTTACCATCCATAGCTTTTCTAGTCGATAACATACCTTAGATTATTCCCACCGTTCATTTTTTGTTTGTTTGTTTCTGATTAGGTTGGAAAAAAACAAAAAAGTCACCTCCATACTAACTGGTTTATGCTGCAGATTTATATCCTGCAATCCCAGACAGCCCCTCTGCAGCAAAGGAGTCCATCCTTTTACTGCTCCTAATTGATTCTCTCTCCACCGCAGCTGTGCCAGACCTTCTCTTTGTCCTCATTCCCACTCCTCCCCTCACCTCCATCAGCTGATTACCTCACCCTCCACTTGATCAAGAAAATAAGAGATCGTTCATTGGGCTTTCCCTTTTCTCCACTTCATCTCACAATCCCTTGACGTCATCTCCCATTTCCATTCATTCACTGCAGTTGCTGAAGTGGTGGCCTTTCTTGTCTAGGCCGACCCTCAGTGCACCCTTGAGCCCATTCGCTTCTTTCTTCTCTACGGCTCCACCCCCATCATCCTCTTTCACTCCTTTACCTTCAGTTTCTCCTCCTCTACTAACTCATTCTCTGCTGCCTAAGGCTCCCCGTGCTTAACCCTTTCTAGACTATTGTAGAGCTCTCAGCTATTGCCCTGTGTGTCTCCTCCCTTTTTCAGTCAACTCCTAGAAAAAGCTGTCTGGGCTTGCAGCTTCCAGCCCCTTGTGGTCTGCCTCTGACCTCTTCACTCAGCTGCTCTCTCCAAGGTTCATGTTTCCTAAGCCAAATGTCTTCCGTTGGATTCAGTACAGTGTAGTGCAGGGGTGGTAGAGCGGGAGGAGCATTGAAGACAGTCCGTAGGCATTGATTTAGGCACTTGCTGTGTGCTAGAGACTGCTAAGTGCTGGAGATATAACTGCAAGAAAATGGAAGAGCCCTTGCCCTCAAGGAGCTTATATTCTAAGGAGAAGACTGCATATAAAAGAGAGCTACAGGGTGGGTTGGGGAAGGTACCTGAGTGGCATCAGGGCAAAAACCAGAGAGAGGAAAAGAAGGGTGGCTGGCCTGGGGCCTTTCTTCAAGAACTCCCCCATGATAGAGAGGACCTGGTTAGGGGTGGGGCTCAGTCAGAAGGTTTCAGACACTGAGGGAAGTTACAAAATGGGAAGGCAGCAAAGACCAGAGAGACAAGCCGAGCTGGGGCAAGGAATGAGAGCCAGGACCTGGGCTCAAATGCTGACTCTGCTCCTGGAATGTTTGGGCAGTGCTTTTTCCTTCTCTGGGGTTGTGTGTTTATCTGTAAGATGACAGATTGGCCTTAATGATTTATGATGTCCCTGTGAGGTCTAATTCCGTGCCCCTATAATAGGCTGCCAAGATCTGGGAGCTTCTTTAGGAAGCCTGGATCTGAATGCCAGGAGCCTCGGCCGCATTGTTGCTGCAGTGCTTTGGGGAAGCCTGGGAAACTGGCCCGAGAGGGGTTGGGGTGCCCAAGATAATGCACTGGGGTGGGAGCCCCATCAGGCACTGCTTGCCATGCCCTCGAGGCTCGTTGGAAATGCCAGCAGCACCTGGAAGGTGTTGGTGCTGGTTCCAGTGTCTCCATGATGTGTGTTCTCCATGTCATGGTTGCCTGAGTCATCTGGAGCCTCCCCTTTAGTGAGAACACAAGCTCCCCAGCCTGGCCTTTCGGCTTTTTTTAAATTGGTGTCTTGTTTCTGCTTCACATTCGTTTCCAAATATATCTCTCCCTTCCCATAAGTCTTTCCTCATTAAAGGGGGGGAGGGGGCAGCGGTTCAGCAGAAACAGTTTGCCCATTTGTGCACTATTTCCCACTCTTGTTCCGTCCTGCTGTGTGGGAGGGAGGTTCATTTTCCCAGTTCTCCGGAGTCAGATGGCCATGAAAATGAGGTAGAGTGTAGTTCTACTTGGTGTTTTGGCAGTTTTAAATGTTTATTGATATCTTTTGATATCACCTACCTGTCTTTCCCCTCCCTCCCCAGAGCACCATCCCTGGTAACAAAGAATTGAAAAGAAAACGAAAAAGCAGTTCACCCCAGCTGACCCACACATCAGTGAAGTCAACGTGTGTGTCATGTCCCTAGATTGGAGAGTCAGAAGGAAAGGCGGGGGGTCAGCTGGTCTGCCTCCCACCCCCTGTAGAAACAGCAATAAACTGACAGCCAGCACTGGTCCTCCAACTTCTCCAAGATCTCCAAGGAGAGCCCAGCCTGCTTTGGGACACCTCAGCCTGAATGAGTCTCTTTGCAGTTGGCCCCCATGGCTCCTGGGTCTGGCCCTCTGATGGCCCTACCAATACTAGAGGGCAGTGGTCATGTTTCCAGTTCCTCCCGCTCTTGCCCCCATGTTCACAGATTTTCACCATTCCTGGTTGTCTTCTCTACCCTTGGAGTTTGTCGGCAGCCTCCTCAATCACATGGAGGCCAGAACTGGACAGAGGGCTGCAGATGAGATCTGACCAGGAAAGGACAGGGATTCTCCAACCTTCCTTTTCTTGGGAGCTCAGCCCCTCTGCATGCAGCCCGATACTGAAATTGTGTTTTTGGTTTCTTCGTCACACTGTTAATTCACTGAGCTTGCAGTTCCCTTAAACTCCCAGATCTTCCCTTTTTTGCCTCCCTATCTTATTTGTTAAAAAATGATTTTTGTACCTAAGTGCAAGAATTGACATTCATCTCTGTTGAATCGCATCTTCTTAGATTTAAGCTAGTGCTGTGGCTTGTTATCCAGTATTAACTCTCCCAACTTTGGGTGAGATACTTTGTGGAAAGCTTTGCTAAAATGTAGGTAAAGCATCTTCCTCATCTCCTTGTTAGGTTAGTCTGGCAGCACCCAATCCGGTGTCACACCCAGAGTCTCCTGAGCCTCACTGGAAACGAGCATGTGATTCCAGAGGTCAATTTCCTCTTTCTATTTTATGTTGTCACTGCATAATCTCTTGCTTGTATTTGCTTCATTCTGCCTTAGTTTGGGTCTTCTTGTGATTGTTTTCATACTCATCTTTTATAGTGCCTTAATATTCCCTTACCTATAGTTATAATAATAGGTAGTATTTATGTAATGATTTAAAGTTTTCCGAGCAGTTTACAAATGTTAATCTCATTTGATCCTCACAACTCTGGGAGGTTACGTGCTGTTATTTCTCTTTTACAGATGAAGTGACTTGCCTGGGGTCACACAGTAAGTGTCTGAGACCAGATTTGAACTTGGGAAAATGAGTCTTCCTGACTTCAGGCCCGGCACTTTATCCACTTCACCACAGCTTTGTGCAGCAGTACCCTCAGTAAATAGGCCTCATCTTTTGTTTATAGTTCTTTGCTGCCATACAATGGTAGCAGGTGCTCCAGACTGGCTGCTTCAGCCTCCCTTTCTTGTATTCACTAAGCTTCTGCCATGCTGTTCTGGCAATCAGTGCCAGAGTTGACTCTGTTTTGGGATGAGCAGTCCCTCCTCATCCTCATCCTTGCCTCTCAGAATTCTTCTCCCTTCAAGGCTGACCTTGGGGCTGCATTTCTCCATTCTCCTACTTGTTCCTTGTTCTCTCTGTCCTCAAACTACCCTGTACTTCCTGCCCTGTCCCCAGGAGAGTCTGCATGAGGGCAGTGTTGGCTTCATTCTTGTCTATACCCCCTTGTGTGTGGTAGGCGCTCTTGGATCGAGTTTGACATGTTCTGGACTTTAGTCACTTTGTGTTAACTCTGTCACTGCCCAGAGCCCACATGTTGGCTTATCCAGCATTCCAAACACTGTGGATGTCTGTCTATCCATTATCCATCCTTTTTCCTACATTACCAGTCGTTTCTCTTTGCCTGACAAGATGTCAGGAAGATCCGAATTCGTATTTGACCTTGGACATTTACTAGCTGTGTGACTTTGGGCAAGTCACTTAACCCCATTTGCCTCAGCTTCATCATCTGTAAAATGTGGATAACAATAGCACCTTCCAGGGTTGTTGGGAGGATCAGATGAGATGACAATTATAAAGCATGTAACACAGTGCCTGGCACATAGGGAGTGCTATAGAAATGTTAAGCTGTTAGCATGGTCCCACCTCTTCCTTAAGCGTCATTCATTTCTCTCGGACTTCTGGAGTCTCTACATGGTGGTTGTTGCCCTGTGTGCTGGGCAGCCACGAGCTTCTGTTCTTGAACATGGCTGTGACTTTGTGGCTTTTGTAAATTAACTGGATACACAAATGTTCACCAGATCTTTGGGCTCACTCACTTTCTGGCACCTGGGCCTTAGTTTCTGCCTTTTGGAACCTGTGTTAATGCCTGACTTGGAAGCCATCATGGCGCATGGTGTCTGTTGCGGCAGCAGGAGAGGCATCGAGTTTTTTCTAGGCGAGAGCAGGAGGTTGGGAGTTGGGACCCTGAGGCTATGGGCCTCCATTTTGTCCCTGGTTTGGTGACCAAGGATGGGTGATGTGTGGTGAGGAGAGCGATTTGGGAACCTTAAGGTACTATAGCAGCAGGAGCCAGGTGCCCTGTTGAATTGCTGCTGATGGCTCTCCTTTCTCTTGTAGGAAGATGAAGAAGAGGAGGAGCAAGAATTGGTGGTAAGAACCGTTTTACGATAGAAACCATCCTTGTAAAAGCTGAAGGTTGAAGCTGAGCTAAGTGCATTGGGGGGAGGGGACCCCTCCTGTCATTGGGCCTGCAGGGGAGAATCCTGGGAAGAAGTGTGAGACCTTGTGGCCTTCATAGCAGAACAGATGGGGTGCCTGGTGTGGGAGGGGTCACACAGCTGGAGAACATTGGCTGGCCAAGCCAGGCCGAGGGGCATCTCCCTGTGCCAACTGCTGGTAGTGCAGCCCACCGTGGTCAAAAAGAGCCCAAGATCCCAGAGGTAGCCATAACTCCAGCCCTTCCTGATAGCACCTGTTCTACACAACAGACCTCGGACCTCCCCACAGATGGGGACTGCCCTGCTCTTATTGGTTCCCCCACATCTGAGTAGCAGGAAGGGGAGTCCAGTCATCCCAAAGTGAGGTCTCCCAACCCTGTTCTCTAGATGGGACCCGGCTTCATGCAGCTTTCAGGGCCAGGCCAAGGTGAAGGGTCTGGGCAGTGAGGAGAGGCCTCCTGGATCCCTGACTGCCTTGTGTGTCTCTTGAGGACCCCCTGACCACTATAAGGGAGCACTGCGAGCAGATAGAGAAATGCGTGAAGGCCCGTGAGCGGCTAGAGATGTGCACGGACCGCGTGTCTTCGCACCCCAACACTGAGGAGGACTGCACTGAGGAGCTCTTTGACTTCCTGCATGCCCGTGACCACTGCGTGAGTCACTGCTTCTGGCCCGAGGACTAGGCAGAGCAGGCCGCTTCTCTGTGGCCCCATCCCCTCTCTGGGCCTTGGTTTCTTCTTCTATAAAAGGAGGTTTGACTCAGTAGCCTCTGAGGTCCCTAGAACTAAGGACTTCCCTGGAATTCTGGGTAACCAGAAGCAGCTGGAGCAAGTGGGAGCTCAATAGACACCTACCTAGGGTTGGCCTAGGGAGCAGAGCACCCAGATCACCCCTGGTGGGTCCTAGGTGCTAGGTCTTAGGCCTTTGCTGTCAGCAGCTTCGGGGGCAATGCTGCTTGCTTGTGTTTTCCTCTGGTCTGGGCCCTGGTAATGCTCAGTGCTGCTGGGCGGTTCAGTGGTTAGAGCACTGGACTCAAAGCCAGGAAGACCTGCCTGAGTTCAGATATGGCCTCAAGACTTCCACCTGTGTGGCCTGGGCAAGTCCCCTGCCCTCTTTGAGCCTCTGAGTTCTTACCTGTATAACGGGGGCCCACATTACAACCTCACATTAGCTGCCATTGTGGGGGGGGGCAGGTATTCCCACCATGTGTTTGGTGCCTCCTTTGAGGCACTGTTCGGCCTTTAATATGGAATTAAATGGACCCCCGAGGGATCTTTGCTCACCTTGCTTTTCCTTCTCCCAGGTGGCCCACACACTCTTTGAAAGCGTGAAATAAATGTGTGTGGCTGTGCCAGCTGCTCCAGGCTCTGCCCTGTTGGGGGGCGTCTCAGTGGCATCATTTCCCATCACATCACCCTGGATCTCGGACACTGTTGTACCATGTGTCCTGTTATTCTGCATGAGCCCGTGTGACCCACAACAGCTCCATTTGAATAAAACCCAGTCATCTGTGGAGGTGTCTCCTGTTGTCTCTGAAACAGCACTCGGAACCCTTCCTAGGGAGGACCCCTGGGGCCAGGGGAGGGGGCGTGATTTCCCATAGAAATGAGAGGTCATAGGAGCATGTGGTGGTCAAGGTCCCCTAGTCCAACCCCAGGGAGGGGAGCAGCTGCCCCAGGTCACCAAGGGGCTGTCTCTGAGCCCAGCCCTTGCCACCCACTGTCCTCTTCTTATGGTGGCCAGCCCCTCCCTGCCCCTCCTCCTCCGCCTCTAGGCTCTTCCTTGGGCTCCTTGACTTCCAGGTCTGGTTTCCAAACTTCCCTGGGTCTGTTTAGCATTATCCCATTATCCAGGTTAATAAGGTTGGAGTCCCCCTTGACTCTTCCCTCTCTTTGCCCAGCCATACGTGTGGCTCAGTGGTTAGTGCTTGACTTGGGAGTCATGAAGACCTGGGTTGGAATCCTGCCTCTCAAACACTCTAGTGTGACCCCTGGGCAAGTCACTTCCTTTACCTTTGCCTGCTTTATTTTTCTCATCTGTAAAATGGGGATCATAATAGCACCTGCCACCCAGGGTCGAGGTGAGGATGACATCATGTTTAGAAAGTGTTTTGCAAACCTTAGAAATCTGAGCTGCCATAAGTTGTCTCCACAGCATCCCTTGCTCCCCACTTCCTTGGCCACTAACCTAGGTCAGGTCCACATAAGCCTGCTCCAGGGCAGAAGCCGTTTAACTAGTCTCTTGTTTTTAGGCACGTGGTGATGAAGTGGGAAGGATGCCTTGCCTGGGACCAGGAAGACTGGTTCAAATCCAGCCTCAGACTGGTCACTCTGTAATGCTGGGCAAGTCAGTGTCTTGGCTCAGTTAACTCATGTGTAAAGTGGAGGTAACAGCATCTACCTTGTAAAGTTGTGAGGATCAAATGAGGTATTTGTACTGTGCACCACGTGGCACATAGTAGGCCCTTCCCAGACTTTACTGTCGTAGAAGCCTTAGCATGATAGGAATTGAGCCATCCTGAATGGAGAACACGGGATAGAAACAAATGTTAATCAGCTGCTGTGTGCCAGGTGCTTTACAAATAATCTGTTAAGATAAGGTACCTACAATGTGCCAGGCTCTGTGCTAATCCCTTTACAAAAGTCTCACTTGATGCGCATAACAATCCTGGGGGACAGGTGCTGTTATCCCCATTTTACAAATGAGGAAACTGAGGCAAAACAGCAGATCACATGCCCAGGGTGGCACAGCATTTGAACTCGGGTCTTCCCGACCCCAGGCCCAGTGCTCTGTCTATTGCAATGGGATTTAATTGAATTTGGCCAGCAATTCAAGGGTCGGGAGGCACTGCCCGTGCCCTCAGGAAGCTTGCAGTCTTAACAGTGGGTCAGGGGCCCTGCAGAGACACAAGAGGGCGCACGGCCCAGGGTCAAGGAGCTTTAGGCACTGCCTCTCTCTGAACCTCAGTTTGCCCCTCTGAAATAGGGTCGACGCCGGTCCCTGCATCCCAGGTTGGGAAAGGCGACCAGCGCCAAGGACGGGGTTGGAAACTGGGTGGGAGCGGGGAGGACAAAGAAGCCTGCCCAAGGCGGCGCCTTTGTCCGTGGTCCTGACGTCATCGCCGAAGACACCCCTCCCGCCACTAAGCGCCATGTGGGGCCGAGTCCTGCCCCATGGAGTCCTGACTTCCGGCGTGGCGGGCGCCATGTTGATGAAAGTCCTCGCTCCCCGGACTCCAGCCAGGCCGGAACCCCTTGCGGCGGCCAACGCGCCTCGCCGGAAGCGGACGTCGGCGGACGCGCAGACCGCGCACGCGTAGCCAACATGGAGGCGTCCTCGCGCGTTCTGGCAGGGGCGCGCCCGCTGCTGAGGCGGCCCGGGACCGGGCTGATTCCACGGAGGTTGCGGCACAAGAAAAAATGGGTGAGTGATGGACCCCACCGGAAGTGACCCCTGCCCGGGGGTCGGGGATGATGGGGAGCGTCGTGAGTGGGGGCGGGGCTTGCGCCCAGACCAGAAATGCGCCTGCGCCTTGTCTTGGATGGGGGGGTGGCGTACGCATACGCCGGGGCATACGCGCGAAGTGCTTTTTTTGGGCTTCTTTGTACCTGTTTCTGAGATGAGCGATGAGCGCACAGGTGGTTCGCGGCTTTCTTGGGCCTCGTGCGGGAAGGAGGGTTGGGGTACAGGCTCATGTAGCCTGGAGGAGGCCGAGGGCTGGCTGCTGACCAGCAGTCACTCGAACGGCCCCAGAGTGGGCCGTCTGCTTGGGGAAGGAGTGAGCTGCCTGTCCCGGAGTGGGGGGAAGGGCTGCCCCTCTTCCCTCGCCTCCGGGGTCACGTGCAGCACTCTCACGTGACCCTGCAGTCAGACCTCCCCGGTTCCCCTGTTGCTAGGCGGTCCATATGACTGCGGACATTCTGCCTGGCAGCCCCGATGCCTGGAGTTGTCCCTCCTTATCCCCGCCTGCCGGCTTCGGTTCCAGCCAGAGCCCCTCCTTAATGCTGGTGCCTTCTCCTTGTTTTCTCCAGTTTATGCTGTGCTTATTTATACCGTCGTTGTCTCCTTTGTTTCCGTTAGGCTGAGCCTGAGGGCAGGGACTTTTTTTTGTCTTTCTTCATAACCCCAGCACTTAGCACAGTGCGTGCCTGGCACACAGTAGGCCCTCAATCAGTGCTTATTGACTGAGAATAAATGCTTTGTTGTTTGGTCATTTCAGTCGTGTCCGACTCTTTTGTGACCCCATTTGGGGTTTTCTTGGCAAAGATACCGGAGTGGTTTGCTATTTCAGCTCATTTGACCGATGAGGAAACTGAGGCAAACAGAGTTAAGTGACTTGCCCAGCGTCATATAGCCAGTAAGTATTTGAGGCCCATATTTGAACTCAGGACTCCAGGCCCATTGCAACACCTAGCTACTGGAAAAATGCACAGCCATGTAAATTCAAGACACTCCAAAGGATCCTTACAGCTCTGGATTCGGGAGTTTTCACCCATGATGCAGGTAGATCAAGTCCCATCATCCATTATTGTTAGCTAGGCTCCATACAAAGTGAATACAATGGGGGGGCAGAGATTCTGACAGTTTTGCTTTCCCTATTTGTGTGAGCTCCTTGAGGTCAAGGACTGGTTCAAGTCAAGTCATTAAGCACTTACTGGGTGCCAGGCACTGACCGGGCTAAATGCTGGAAATAAAATTAGAAGTAAGCCAACTAGTCCCTACCCTCAAGGAGACTACAGCCTATGGGGGAACACAAAAGAAGGATGGGGAGAGGGAATAGGAGCCCAGGGGCCTGGTGAGGGCTGGGAACATTGCAAAGTAGGGCAGAAAGACCCAAGGATAGGAGCTGGACCAATTTTCATTATTACAAGGAACTCCTTGGGGAAACTCCAACTGTGTGGGTTAGCACCTTCTCTGAATCTTGGAGAGGGTTGCCCAGGGCACTAAGAGGTTTTGTTCAAGGTCACAAAGCCAGCTCTTGGACTCAGGTTTTTCTGACTTTATGCTTTATTAAGAATAGACAAAAATGTTTATTGAGTTGAATTTAAATTTCTCAGATTGCTTCACTTATTTGATTAGGACTTAGCACAAAAGGCAAATTCAACAGCTGTGACTGATGTGTATGGAAACTGTACAGTGAGCTTGGGCAGGGCCCATGATAGACCCAGCAGACCAGCAGGGAGAGCCTGAGGACCCTGTCTCACTTTTGCAGGCCTCCACAGAGCCGAAGTTCTCCTCAACCCGGCTGGCCCTGCAGAATTTTGACATGAACTACAAGGTCCAGTTTGGAGACCTGTGGCCCTCAATCCGGGTCAGCCTTCTCTCGGAGCAGAAGTATGGGGCGCTGGTCAACAACTTCTCCACTTGGGACAAAACCACCTCTGAGTTAGAGCAGCTGAAGGCCAAAGATTTTGTGATGGAGGCACAGAGAAGGGTGCAGCAGAAGGCCCTCCCTGAAGAACCCAGTGCTCTGGTCCTTCCTCCAGAGCTGGAGACACCCCCCCCCTCAGCAGCCCCCTGGCCCTGGAGCCCTAACCTATGCTGTTACACATTTACCAGAGGGGACATCAGCCGCTTCCATCCGTCCAGGTAGGTGGGATTGTCAAGTGCCCTGAGCCGTGCTCAGGGGAAGGGAGGGGTGAGGGCTTTAGCACTGGGGCCCCCTAACAGCCTTTCAAGAGGGACGATGTATCCTTTTCCTCATTTTCCAGTTCAGGGAACAGGCTGAGAGAGGCCTTGAGGCCTCTAAAACCCATCATGGAGGGAAAATGGCACCAGACCAATGCTGGTTTTATGGGAGCAGTATTGGGGCTCAAAGGAGAGCATGTGGCTGGGGAACTGACAGGTTAATTTCTAAGGTTTCTGGAAGAGGGAAAAATTCCGAGACCAAAAAAATGTGGTTGGTGTTAGTGCCAAAGAAATGGAGAGAGAGAGGACAGTTGGGGGCATAGGACTCAGAGCTGGAAGAGATGTCAGCCTTCATCAAGTTCAGCTGCTTTCGTTTTGTTTGGTTGGAAACCTCAGGTCCACCTGGGGAATGACTTGCTTAAGGCCCCACAGGTGTTGAGCAGCAGAGCTGGTAGTCAGGCCCAGGGCCCCTGATGCCCAATAATCCCTTGTTCTCACCCCTGCCCTGAGCTCCTTTGGGAGGCCAGATCTGGAACCCTGCTCCCTATGTTCTTAACTCAAGGCTCCTCCTCCCCCGCCTTCCTAAAGTTCCCGTCACCCAGCCATCGCTCCTGTTTGCGGTGGACCTGAGGTTACACAGCTGAGGATCCACTGGGTGCGACCCATCATGGCTGAGCGGCCAGGCCTCCTGGCACCATTCTCATCTCTCATCCTGGAAAGCGTGACCCGCAAGTGTGATGGGGACAGGTGGGCTTTCACAGACCATCAGTCTGGCTGAAGCAGCAGACCCCCTGAGCAAGAGACGGGAGGCAGCCCCAGCCGGGCAGCGAAGGCACTGCCGCCATGTTGGCCACCATCCCCCTCAGACTGATGGGGACAGCCCAGGACACTGAAGTCAGGAGCCATGGGAATAGCAGGGCCCCCCACACTACTGAAGACCTCAGACTACCAGAGTTGTTTCCAGCCCAGGCCCCCTGCCCCCTGCTTTGGAGGGGAGAAATCAATCTAGAGAAAGAAGGGACCCACCTTCTCATCACCGCCAGCAACAACTGCTGACCAGCTGCCGCCAGCAGTCAGATGGGAACGGGAGCCTGGGGCAGAGCAGCATCTCCCAGACCACAGTCCTGGGGAAGTCAGTCCTATGCAGAAAGGGTCAGCCATCCCCACCAGCTGCCAAACAGATGCCACCCTCACGAGGCAGCCCGGCTGAAGCGGCAGCATCCTCAGGAGAGGGCCAGACAGGTCAGGCCACCGCCTCCACTCCTACCTTGACCCCAGTGGGAACAGCCTAAGACCCAAGAGCCTGGGGAGGAGCCAGGCTTCCAGCCCAGGGCCCTCTGCCGTCCTCCTGGGAAGCAGTCCCTGAGCAGATACAGCCTGGGGTCTGCTCCTGCAGGGGCTGCAGCCACAAGTACTGAAGACCCAGAATAGAACAAGTCTGGGCTCTGTGAAAATGACCTGCAAGGAGAGCCCTGGCCCTCTGCTTGGCCGCTGCATCCTCAGGACCAGGGGATGTTTCTGTTTGATGTGCAGCTGAGCTTTCTCCAGGGGGCATCTCCCCATTAGACTGGGAGCACCTAGGGGTAGGAACTGTCTTCTCCATTTCTGTCCCAGCTGCTTTTCCCCCACCATTCATGGTCAGCAGACTGGACATTCTTTCCACATCCTACAGCACAGAAGAGTTGGAGCCCACTGTGATGGGCATTAAATTTGGAAAAGCCTTTGGTCCCCTGGAACAAAACATTGCTGGGCTCTCGATTGTGGACCACTGTCACACAATTAGAGTTATATGTGACCTAAAGGACCATGGAAGTTGGCTGAGCATGCTGGCCGGAGAAGTCGGGCCATCATTTAAGCGGGGGGGGGGGGGGGGGAGGCGTGGCTGCCTAGGGGCAGCAGCCTCCGTCTCCCCTCTGGGGAAGGGAAGGAAGGACACAAGGACACAGCTGCTCTTTGGGTGTTTCCTCCACAAAGGATATTGGGAGGGTGTGGGAAGAAGGCTTCCAGGGTGAGAAGGCATCTGGTCACTGATCTAGTGAAGCTGTGACCTTCGCTTCTTTCTGTGGAAAGCCATAGTCGAGGATCAGCCCGGCCTCCATAGCCTTTGAAACTGATATGAGGCCAGCCAAGCCTTTATCTCTATGTCAGTTCAAGGTCATTTGAGATTAAGGCCCTCCCTGAGCCTCTTGGCAGTGTCCCGGGGCCCAGGTCTGGTGGTCCATGCTCCCGAGAGCAGCACGCTGACAGAGACGTCTCCTTAGTTCTGTTACTTATTAAGTGACTGCACAGAGAGAACGTGGGCTTCCTGCCCCCCAAAACAGGAAGGAGGCCTGTAGTCCCAGGGTTGGTGTGTCCTTCTGGCCTTAAGTGTCCAACTCTAGAAGCCAAGTGTGGCTGTTTGTGTGTCTTGGCCTGGAGGACTTCGCCCACAAGTATCAAATGACCCCAGGGTGGGTCCACACTGCCCCTGAGTGGAAATCCTTTACAACAGTAGCTGTCTAGTCTCTGCTGGAAGATCTGCAGGGAGAGGGAATTTTCTGCCCCTCACAGATTACCCATCTGCCTCTGGGTCCTCTGGGATGGGGAAGCCCTACTGTCTCAGGGCACTGCCCATATGGGGGGGGGCAGAGCTGGGGGCTGTGGGTCTTGGCCTCGTCACACTCCCATTCCTACTCCTGAAGCTCCCCTGCTCTGTCTTCCAGGGTCGGCAGCCTGGGTGTTCTTGACTACTACCTCATGGATGCATCCTCCTTGCTGCCTGTGTTGGCTCTGGGTGTCCAGCCAGGTGACACCGTCCTTGACCTGTGTGCTGGGCCGGGTGGGAAGACGCTGGCGCTGCTCCTGACCGGCTGCTGCCGTAAGTAAAGACTCAGACCAGTCCAGGGCTCAGAGTCACCTTGGGGAGGGTGGGGAGCAGGTGGTTTCCCTTCTTACCCCAGCAGTGATGCCCCATGGCTCCCCCTCCCCATGTCTCCTTTTCTCCTTCTGGGCCAGCTGAGATAAGAAAGATTGGTGAGTGACGGCCCTTGGCCCTGAAGGTTGGTGAGACCATCCCCCAAAGCAGGGAGCAGTTTTTCCCTGGGGAACAGAGGAGACTCAGAAGGGGCATTGTGGGCAATGGGTCAGAAGATCAGCCGCCTGAGGCTTCAGAGATGTGGGAGAGAGAGCTCTGAGTGGAGTTGGGAAGGCCAGGTACAGATCTGTGCCCTGACATTTGTGGCTGGCACCACAAAACCTCAGTTTCCTCTTTGTGTGGTGATGCTTACTTCACAACCACAGTGGTGGTCACGAAGATCTGCAGAGATCACGTGCAGGAAGCACTCGGGCAGTCTGTGCTGGGGATGTGTGATTGAGGTGGGCCAGGGGCAGGGGTCCTGGTCTGACCATGCCTGGAGGCCTGGGTCCAGTTCTGGGCAGCTCCGGGGAAGGACCTAGCACGAGCATTTGTGGAACTAGGGCAGAGGCACCTCGGGATCACATGAAAGGAGGGTGAACTCCTGCCTGCCCCCGGAGGGCGGGGATGGAGGGGACACTCTTAGACTGGCTCTCCGGAGGCATTTCTGTCTACCTAGTAGAGCCCTCCCTGGGGGAGAGACAATCATACAGAGGCAGGAGCTGTAGGATTCTGGAAACCTCCTAGTATCACTTGACTGTCAGCACTTTGCAGGGAGGGGGGAGAAAAGGCAAAGTCCCCCTTCCCTGAGATATGTTGATCTGAGATCAGGAAGCCCCTCCAAGACCAGGACTGCCCTTCCCTTGTATTTCACAGAGTGCCTAGGACTGTGCTGACCCCATTTAACAGATGAGAACACAGGTTCAGAGAGTTCATCTGCTCCACATCGTGTAACTTGCAAGGGACCCAGCCAGGCTACGAACGGCCGCCTTCCTACCCCCAGTCTGTGCTCTCTGAGCCAGCAAATGGAACCCAGACCTTCTGCTTCCCCTGGGGGGTCCTTGGCCTCAGTATCTGTGTCTGGGGACTGGGCCCAGCAAGCTGCTCCTTGGTGAGGGCCTGCCAGGCCAGCTTCTTCTCAGCAGGCTCTCTTCAGTACGCTCTCCTTCCGCCAGGCCACCTGGCAGCTAACGACATCTCTGGCTCCCGAACCCAGCGGCTGAAGCAAGTTCTGCACAGCTACGTACCCCGGGACAGGAACCAGGTGCGAGTCATCCCAGGATGGTAGGAAGTGGGGAGACCTGGAGAGCAGCACCTATGACCGGGTGAGTGAACCCCCCAGGCCCAGGATGCCTAGATCTCGTGAGCGCAGGGCCCACATGTCAACTGGGCACAGCTGGGCACAGCTGGGTCTTGGAAGAGCAGCTTCCTCTGCCCCATGTGGGGAGTCGCAGTCAGAATTGGCGCAGAGCCCTAGACCTGCTGGTAGCCTTTGGGCTCAACGTCCTGCATGTCGTTCTGACCCTGGGAGCCAGCAAGGCCGAGCCCCTACTCACTCTGCAAATGTTCCTGGGACCCTTCGTCCTTGTCTTGTTGTGCTTTGCCTTATAGTCGTGTGTGTGTGTGGGGGGTGTGTGTGTGGTGTTGGGTGTGTCATGTGGTGTGTGGTGTGCAATGTGACCATACTACACGGGCTGGTGCCTATGAGAAGGAGTAAGGGAAGGAAAGAAGCACTAAGGGGCGTTACAGTTGTCGTCCCAGTTTTGTAAGCAGGTGAAGTGACTTGCCCAGGGCCTCTGTTGCTGCGCCCCCGGGCTGCTGGTCTGTGTGTTTTTGGCGGGGGGGGGGGGGCAGACTCTCTGAGGCCTCTCCTCCCTGGAGCAGGTGCTGGTGGACGTGCCCTGTACCACTGACCGGCACTCTGTCCTGGAGGAGGACAACAACGTCTTCAAGCGTTCGCGGAAGACGGAGAGCCAGATGCTGCCCATGCTGCAGGTGCAGCTTCTGGTGTAAGTGGGGCGGGGACGTGAGGCCTGCCGGGAGGGGAGGGGAGCTGCCTGAGGGGGAGCTGCAAGCACTGGGCAGACTGGCACTCCCAGAGAGGCAGGGGGGCCGTCCCGACGAGGACGAGCAGGGAGTACCTGACGTGCTCCCGCGTGTTTGAATCTGCCCTCCTCAGAGCCGTCGTTCGGTTCAGTGTGGCCGTCGGTTCCGGTCTGAGGACGTAGGCCACTTGGGTTACACCCGCTCCTTGGCCCCCAGCCATGCCCTCAGGGCTCCCTGGGCAGCAGACGGAGCAGCCTGCCCAGGGCTGAAACAAACCGCCCTGTGCCCTGTGCGAACTTGGTTTCTCTGACCCTGTAGTGGTGGCTGAGTCCCCAGCAATGGGGAAGAGACTGGATTGGGCAGCCACTGCTTCTGGCTCTTCCTGGGGAAGGACGTTCCCCTGAGCATCCCTTTAGGCACAAGGGGATTAGCTCCCCCGAGTCTGCGCAGAATGGGTCGAATGTGACTTCAGGTTGGAAAGGCGGGTTGGAGCCAGACTGCACAAGCCTTGGTTGCTGGGCCCAGGATTTTGTCTGATGGTCGCCGAACATTCTGAGCAGGGAGTGACGTGGTCACACTCACGCCTTTCTCAGCAAGATGGCTTGGGCAGCGGCCTAGAGAGTGAAGGGGGCGTCGAGGTGGCGCAGTGAATAGAGTCAGGGACACTGAGTTCAAATCCGGCCTCAGACGCTTACTGGCTGGGTGACCCTGGCCCGGTCACTAATCCTGTTTGCCTCAGTTTCTTCATCTGTCATTAAGGTGCAGAGAGAAATGACAAACCACTCCAGGATCTTTGCCAAGAAAACCCCAGGTGGGGTCACAGAGAGTCAGACACTTCTGAACAACAACAAAGAGTGTAGGAGGAAAGTGGGGTTAGGGAGGCTGATTGGAAGGGCGTAAGGCAGAGTCCAGGGAAGAGGTGACAACCAAGCTGGGTGAGAGGTGTGTGATAGGCGCCGGTGGGAGTGGCCTAGGACGAGTCCCAGGGCTTTGCAGCTTTTTGGATGTGAGGAGGGAACAGGCCTCAGCTGTGCATGGGGCTCCACTGATGACAATCCCTGCCCGTACCCAGGCCCTGGCCCTGAAGGACTGAGCCGGTGCGTGGAGAGGGAACAGAAACATTCAGCCCCTTGGTGACCTCTGTCCCCCCTGGCCAGAGTCTGGGAGAGACGGGGGATGCCGCAGGGAGGGAAGCTGTCCACTGATCCTGAATTAATCTGGGAGAACTTGCTGGGGGAGGAGGCGCTGCCTGCCAGGACCGGCCCTTCATCCCTCTTTTCTTCCTTTCTTTCTTTGTTTCAGGGCCGGCCTCCTTGCCACCAAGCCCGGAGGGGTGGCCGTCTATTCACCTGTACCCTCTCCCACCTGCAGAACGAGTACGTTGTGGGCGGGGCCATCGACATTCTGGCCAATGAGTACCAGACCGACGTCCAGGTGGAAGACCTGAGCTGCTTCCGGCATCTCTTCCAAGACACCTTCTCCTTCTTCCCGTCGTGCCGCATGGGGGAGCTGGTTCTCCCTGTCCTTTGGGCCAACTTTGGACCCATGTACTTCTGCAGGCTACGCAGGCTAACTTAGCGGTTCAGCATCCTGAGCCCCCTTCTGCAGCACAGAGTCTCCGGGAGGACCTGGGAGGGGTGGTGGGAGACGGCAGGCGATGGCAGAGCTCACCCCCCCCCCACAACCCCTTATTGTGGCCCAGGTGTGATTTGCCTCAATGTCTCCTGTAAATGTGGGAGCAGAGGAGGGGCAAGGCCTCTGCCCAGGCAGAAGGAGCGCGGCAGGAGGCTTTGGCAGGGTCCGTGGCTTCCTGGAGGAAGCTTTCCAGTATAGGATAGAAGGTGGCCTTAGCTGCTTGACCTGACCTGGCACACTGCAAAGTGTTAGTGGGACGGAGGCGCCTTCAGGACAGGGCAGCTGTTTTAACCTTTGTTTCCCTGAAGTAATAAAAGCATATCGATTAACTGGTTTGGGGCTTCATCATCTACTTTAGCCTGTGGGTGCTGAGAGTCTGCTCCTTGGGCGAACAATGTGGGGTACAGGAGCCCACTCTACAAAAGACTTGGGGAAGGGGAGACTCCTCCAGCCGGGAAGCCTAGCCCTGTTATGATGTAGGTAGGGGGAGCTTGGGTTCTAGCTGCTGCTCCTCCCTCCCTCCCTCAGCCTAGCCTGGATCCTTGTCATGGCAGCCCCTCCGGGAAGGATGGGAGATTCCAAGCTCTACCCCACCTGAGTAAGAATCTCCCACCAGCATCTGGGACTTTTTTTAAAATGTTGATTTAATGCTTTTTGATGCAACGGTTCAGAGATGTGGTTCTTACATTATTCACAAATGGGTTCCAAATGCACTGAAACTTCTTGGGGAAGATTGTAGAGTGGGTTAGAGAGCTCTGTTTCCAAATCTTTAAGTATACAGGTGTGAGTTTTTATTGGTGACACACAAAGACCGTTTTCAGTACCCAAGACTGAGTGGGTGATGGACAATGTCAGAGAATGAAGAATCATCAAGGAGGATGAGGCCTGAAAAAAAGGGCCGCAATTCAGCTGCCTCAGAAAAGGTCCCATTATCTCTTAAGCCTACCCTGCCCTTTCCAAGCTTCTTTGTTGAAGTTTGGAAAGGGGAAGGTGGGCTTGAGAGATAATGTGATCTCCAGTGCAGACCACAACCCATCCATACCTGTGCATCCAATGCTATTCCTACTGAGGGAAAACAACGTGGGGGTGGGATCTCAGTCTCTCCCTCCTCACTGCCATGGGGCTGCACAGAGTCCATTGACTGAAAGCCTCCCCAACGTTTTCAATGTGGTGCCTCTCCCTGGGTGTTCCGTAGCTGGATTCACTCTTCCCTTTGATGCTTTGTGTGTTTGTGGGGGAAAGTCTCAGGCTTGTTTAAAGGGAGACAGATACCTATAGCAAAGATGGCAACCTGAAAGGTTCCAGCCAAGGTGAACTTGCCTGAAAACCATCTCAAAGATTAGCATCACCAAGAACCTCTATTCATCCAGGACTGCTAGGAGACCTCTAATACAGCATACAACTTTCAAGCACTTCTATTGTGAAAAACTAGGATTGTGTAGAATATTTGAAATATAAACACACACGGGGCACCTAGGTGGGGCAGTGGATAGAGCTCGGGCCTTCGAGTCCGGAGGACCTGAGTTTGAATCCTGCCTCAGACACAGTACTCACTAGCTGTGTGACTGGGCAAGTCACTTAAGCCCAATTGCCTCACCAAAAAAACCCCCAGAAACATAGGAGGGGATTAATGAAAAGAAATGCGAGGGAAGGTAGCCTGGTGTACCAGAGCTAAAACTATTTTAAAGCAGCAATCATGAAAACTACTCAGTACTGGCTAAGAAATAGCGAGTGGTGGATCAGTGGAATAGGTTAGCTACACAAGACGCAGTAGTCCATGACTATAGTCATCTTCCGTTTGATAAACCCAAAGACCTCAGCTTCTGGGATAAGAACGCATTGTTTGACAAAAACTGCTGGGAAATCTGGAAAACAGTATGGCAGAAACTAGGCATAGACCAACATATTATACCATATACCAAGATAAGATCAAAATGGGTACATGATTTATGCATGAAGGGTGAAACTATAAGCAAATTAGGAGAGTGAAGAATAGTTTACTTGTCAGATCTATGGAGAAGGGAAGAATTTAGGGCAAATGACAGAAAACATTATGAAATGCAAAATGGATAATTTTGATTACATTAAAAAGTTTTTGCGCAAAGCTAATGCAACCAAGGTTAGAAGAGAAGCAAAAAGCTGAGAAATAATTTTTACAATCAATGCCTCTGATAAAGGCCTCATTTCTAAAATATGTAGAGAACTGAGATAAATCTATGATAATACAAGTCATTCCCCAATTGATAAATGGTCAAAGGATATGAACATGTAGTTTTCAGATGAAGAAATTAAAGCTATTTATAGTCATACAAAAAAATGCTCTAAATCACTATTGATTAGCGAAATGCAAATTAAAACAACTCTGAGGTACCACATCACCCTTATCAGATTGACCAACATGACAAAACAGGAAAATGATAAATACTGGAGAAAATTGGAACACTAGTGTATTGTTGGTGGAGTTGTGAACTGATCCAACCATTCTGGAGAACAATTTGGAACTATGCCCAAAGGGCTATAAAAATGTGCGTACCCTTTGACCCAGCAATGGCACTTCTAGGGCTGTATCCCAAAGAGATCATAAAAAAAGGGGAAAAAGACTCACATGAACAAAAATGTTTATAGCAACTCTTTTTGTGGTGGCCAAGAATTGGAAATTGAGAGGATGCCCATCAATTGGGGAATGGTTGAACAAATTGTGGTATACAAATGTAATAGAATACTATTTGCTCTCCTTTTCCTTTGTTGTTTTATTTCTGCTTTTTCATGGTTCCTCCCATTCTAATTTTTCTATACATCATGACTAATGTGAAAAGATGCTTGATGTGAATGTATAAGTAAAGGCTATATCAGATTGCATGCTGTCTTGGGGAAGAGGAGTGAGGGGGAGAAATTTAAAACTCAAAATCTTATGGAAGTGAATATTGAAAACTAAAAATAAATAAATTTTAAAAAAAAGAAAGAAATGGTGAGCAGGCAGACTGCAGAAAAACTGGAAAGACTTGCATAAACTGATGGCTGAGTGAAGTGAGCAGAACCAGGAGAACACTGTACACATTGTGCAATGACCAGCTTTGATAAACTTAGCTCTTTTCAGCAATGCAAAGTTCTAAGACAATCCTGAAAGACTCATGGTGGAAAATGCTGTCCACATCTACAGAAAGAACTTTGGAGTCTGAATGCAGATCAAAGCATGCTATTTTCTCTTTTTTCCCCCTCTCTTGTGGTTTTTCCCTTTTGTTCTGATTCTTCTTTCACAACATGACTAATGTGAAAATATGTTTAATATGATCATACATGTATAGCCTATATCAGAGTGCATGCCATCTTGGGGAGGGGGGAGTGGAGGGGAGGGAAATTTAGAACTCAAAATCTTATAAAAGCAAATGTTGAAAACTAAAAATAAATTTTAAAAAGGAGTGTAAAAAAGGGGAAAAAAAGAAATACAAACACAGGAGATGAGAAAGCTAAATATTTGAGATATTTGAAGGGGCTAAATAATTAATTGCTTACTTTCTAACAGAGAAAGAAAAGACCATTGTCCCTTCAGAATCCAACTGTTTCCAAGGGGGAAGGGAATAAGCATTTATATAGCATTCACTGTGTGCCAGAGCCTTTTGACATTCAGGTTGGGGATGGGGGTGGGGTACCAGAGAACAAGACCTCAATCCAATGTGATTGGCCCTTCAGGGCTGCACCAGACAAAGGCCAAGATCATCATGGTCTATAATGCTGGGGCCATGCCCAGAGAAAAGCCTTGGCAAGCACGACTTCCATGTTAGGAGCTGCCAGATGAGACTGAAACTAGGCACTTCAGTGGGAGAGCCAGGACCAGGACGTAATCCTTCTAGAATGATGGCAGGGCACTGACATCTAGACTGAAGGGGAATGGGGCCATACCTAGCATTGCAGCAGAGTCTCTCTCTGGGACTTCAAAAAAGGGAGAGGGTCTCATCCTAGCCACCCCATCTTAAATTGAAGGAGGGAGCAGAGTCTGGCCCTGTCACCAAGTACCAATTCAAGAAGAAAGGCTGCATACATGAGCAAACAGAAGAAGACTCATGCAGTGGAGAAATAAAATGAGCTAAGGGAATCAATCACAAGATGAAATTCCAGAAGAGAATTCTACAATAATAACAAGTAGAACCCAGGGGGAAAGCAGTGTACTGGCTACAAGCACTCAGCAGTGGACTGAAGAGATGAAGGAAAAGCTTCAGTGAGAAAAAGAATGACATGTGAGCACTGGGAAGGAGAAAAAACAGAAGGTGGAAAACCTTAGATACCCTGAAAACTAAAATACAGAAAATAGAAGTTCATTAATAAAACAAGACCTGTTGGAACAAAATCAAAACGTGCATCAATTAGAATACACGAGCTATCTACTATCATAGACAACTGATCTGGGAAAGAAAACTAGAAGGAATAATTCAATGATCATTGGGCTCCCTGAAAATCACCACACCAAAACCTGGATATCATATTTCAAGAAAATCATGAAAGGTAGAGGCAGCTAGGTAGAGGCACAGTAGATAGAGCTCTGGCCTTGGAGTCAGGAGGACCTGAGTTCAAATCTGGCCTCAGACGCTTGACACGAGCTGTGTGACCCTGGGCAAGTCACTTAACCCAGCTTGCCTCACCAAAAAAGGAAAAAAATCATAAAAGGAAACTTCCTAGAGATATTAGAACTGGTAAAGTGAAAATAGAAAGAATTCATAGATCACCATTTGAAGGAAATTCCAAATTCAACAGCCCTGGAAATACTATAGTCAAAATTGAGAACTTCCAAGTTAAAAAAAAAACTGCAAGCCACCAGAAAGAAATAAAAGACCTAGGAACCATCGTCAGAATCACACAACATCGAACAATAATTAAGAGAGGAGCAAGCCTGGAATAAACACAAAACCCAATGTAAAAAGGTTGCTGTTCAGTTGTTTCTGTCGTGTCTGACTCTCTGTGATCCCATTTGGGGTTTTCTTGGCAAAGATACTGGAGTGGTTTGTCATTTTCCTCTCCAGCTCATTTTACAGTCGAGGAAACTGAGGCACACAGGGTGAAGTGACTTGCCTGGGGTTACACAGTGAGGAACTGTGTGAGGCTGGATTTGAACTCAGGAAGATGAGTCCTCAGGCCTGGCGCTCTGTGCACTATGGCGCCA